CTTTGCGCACGGCTCATCAGGTAGAGATTTCTTTGCCTCTCTGCATTGAGTGACCTGCGTAGTGTTTACATGGGGAGATGAACTGATTGTCATCATTCTCACTAAGCATGAAGCACAACTAAGATTGTTTGCTAGTATTGTGTAGGGGCTAACACGACCGGTGGGCCATTCTAGAAACCACCAGAGAAACAAAAACTCCAGGCCCTTTTTTAACAGTTCCTAAGCCTGACATTGACCCCAGGAATTCAATACTGCTTCTAGGAACATAGTAGATTCCCTTGAGGAGCAGGCCTGCTAGGCCCCAGGAATAAGTAAATGATGTCAGGATTCATCATGCAGGCCTACAGGAGCCTCCCCGATTCTAGGAACATCTAGTCTGTTTGCTCAGTGCTACCAGTTTTGGGGGCTGCTCCATGAGAAATAAGTTTTATAAATAATCTCTGACATTTCAAAGATTTAGCTCAAGAGAACGGAAAACGGCGTGGATGATTATTACTCTCGAGCTTTCACCGTCGAATGAGTTGCGTTTCTTTGTCAGAATAAACTGAAATTATGCCTCTGTATTACAAGTGCCTCGTGTGCGACAATTCCCACTCTTTGCGGCAACCCCTTTTCTGGCATTGACCATTCCTTCAGCATAGGGCAGAAACTGCACAGAACTATTTCACCAGCAACAATGAATCGATTCTTTGTTTGGCCAGAGATCACTTATAATTATCTATCAAGTTTTGTACAAAGACATCTGGATTCGGGCGTGTTGCCAAGGGTCGAGTGGTGTAAAAAGGGAAGGCCGGGTCTAGCAAATAGGTGGGCGGGTCCGTTCGTGGTTGTAAGTTCAATCGGAAGAGTCTTGGCCTGTCATTGCTAGACACAGACACCATATCCAGAATTTGTCTGTGCCCACAATAAAGATCACTTTTGTCATGTTTAGTGGAAGACAGATGGAACAAGTGCTCTTCAATTGTCTGACCCGTGATCTGATCTAGCTCTGTGAGACGAATCTCCACCCAATGCAGTAGCCTGGCCGGAACAAACGCTGACATGTGAAGAACTATGTCTTCAAATTGCGTCGTGGGTGAACGAGGATCTGGGCCCGTCCAGTTGAAGGCCACTTGAAGACTCTCAGGGTCAGGAAAATGACGACATTCGACTGGAGGTGGTGTCGAACTACTAGAATCAAGAAGTTGACCGCCGATAGTTGTATCTAATAAAGGATCATCACAAACAGTGGCGAGGCAAGGTGGTATTGCTGGAATTTCGGACGAGTTGTACCAGAATTCGTGAAGGTCAACATAGTCTACACTGCAATGAGCTTGGTACATCACGTCTTGAAACATCGAACATACCGTTATCGTTGATCTCCATGCTTTGCTGTCGCGGTCTTTTGGCCACCAAATAAGAGACTGCAGATAGCATAAGTAACTGGAAGGCGCAGAAGCCCTTTATAAAATTGAATATCTAGACCTTTCGACCCAGCAAAGATGCTTCTGTCCGGAGCCACGAAATCAGCTACCATTCCTCGTGAGTAACAACCCTCCCACAGTGATAACAGCAACATTGCTAGCCGATGAGGCGAATTGTTGAATGTATTCTTGGTTCACATTGTTTTGATTACTCCATGACGTGTTACTGTCTTGAAATACCGACAAGTGCAGAGCAGTGACACACACATGTTTAAATGTCCAGATTTAGAATTGATGCATTTAGGCTACAGCTGACTATCAGATGGTTACCTAGCATGAATATATTTGCTCTAAATGGGTACTGTTCTGGAAAGTATTGAGAATTTTTAATTCGCCCAAGGTTCTTTGCTGTGTAGCCAGCACCGGTAAAATGTTGGAATTGAGGCCAATCAAAATATGCGGTGCAGTCGGAAATACAAATGCCGGGATGTCCACGTTGGCTAAAGATGTGGAACCGTTCAACACATCAACAAAACACATCAACACATCAACACATCAACACATCAACACATCAACACATCAACACATCAACACATCAACACATCAACACATCAACACATCAACACATCAACGGACGGACCACCTTTGATCTTTCGCGCATTTAACTGCAGAAACTAGATCGCTGAATAATCGATTTTAGCTGTATTCTCATTCGAACATTTCCTAGTAATCGCATTCTGATTTTTTTATAAGCATTTTGCAACGAGATCATTATTGACCTACGGAACATCCTCTGCAAAACTTGTTCAAATTCTCGAAACTCCATATTGACTGTGACTTGTTATCTAAGATCTGTCAAGGCGCGGTTTTGCCATGCGTGTTGACCGGCGAAGCGATGGCGACGTGCTAGACTCCGCGAGCTGGGACGATCATCTGGCAAGTCGAATTGACAGACGGCCACTGTGTTCTACGCCCTGTCTCATCAACTGGCCCTGAAGAAAATAAAGAATCCGGATATTCGATGCCGCTTCCATGGCACTCCGGAAGTGGCAAACATTTCTTGCTCGACGGTCGCGGCAAAGAAGCTTGACAACGTGCTCCTTCCCATTACGGGCTGCCAGCTCCAGGGCGGACTCTCCATATCGATTAGTACCTGTGACATCAAGTCGATCGTCTTTGAGCAATAGCTCCACAATATCCAGATTCCTATAACAGACAGCTATGTGCAGTGCGGTGCCTCCAAGAGCGGTCTTTGCATTAACATCCAGTCGAGTCCCTTGTTCAAGAAGTAGCTTTGCAACACCACGGTAGCCGTTTTCGATCGCAATAAACAGAGGAGACTTGTGCCAGACGGACTGATTGATATCAACCGCTTTAAGGGAGACAAGTCGGCGGACCACTTCTAGATGTCCCCTTTCGGTAGAAAGATAAATGGGAGATGCTCGCGATACATTCAAATCTAGATCGGTCCTAGTAAGGAGGAGCTCCAACATCCGCAGATCGCCTTGGCCCGCTGCGTAGCTGAGGGCTGTCCACCCCTGGTCATCGCAGATGTTTGGGTCCAGTGAATCCAAGTCCACAAGCAGACAAGCGAGGTGGATGTTTCTATTTTCAACCGCGAAGTGAAGAGCGGTCTTTTGGCCAAAGCCGCGTGCATTGATATTAGCTGGTTCCTCGGCCAAGATCTGCAATGCGACGGATCGGTGGTTTCCACGCGCGGCCGCACAGAGAGCTGTAGCTCCTTCGCTATCACAAGCCGTAATGTCAATTCCAGGCGTGCTCAAAAATAGCTTTGTAGTTGACTTATGGCCATAAAATGCAGCGAAATGCAATGCTGTGCGGCCCCCTGGATCAGTACTATTGACATCGACTCCATGGCTCAGCAAAAGCTGGATGACATCATCATGCCCGTTGCTGGCGGCTTGGTGCAACAAGGGCTGGCCGTATCTGTCCGTGATATGGAGATCTGCACCATACATAATCAGAGCTTGAGCGATTTCTTCTAGACCAGCGTCGACGGCTAAGCAAAGCGGGTGATCTCCGGCATTCACGTCTACTAGTCGAGGTTGTGAAGGATAAGCTTCTGTATGATGAAGCAGCATTTGGGTGATAGGCAAATTCCGTTTGGAAATTGCCAGGTTGAGAGGGGGTGGTCCGTCGGCAGTCCATCATCTATATGTCGCTTTGCAGGTCTAGGAGAAGTCGTACCAAATCCTCATCGCAATTGGCGACAGCATACCAGATAGCATTTCGATCCTTGAAATCCGTACAATCCACTGATGGATTGAAATGTTGCAATTAAATGCGCGCTATGGACAGGTGTCCTCGCTTTAGAGCGTGCAGCAGAGGGGTCTGCTTTTGGTCATCTTGCCAGTTGATATCTGCCGCGCTTTCCAGAAGAGTTCGGATCATTTCTTCACTTTCGATTTGAATGGCGTGAAATATAGGTGTGCGGGATCTATAATCTTGCGTGTTGGCATGTCCTCGATGTTCCTTTAGCATTCGATTCACCAGACCGATTTGGTTGTGTTGAGCGGCCCAGGTCAAGGCAGAGCTACGCTGATGGCGAACATTGAAGGCGTAGAGACACGGGAGGAAGACGTCTCTCGAAAATCTATTCACAAGTGCCATCCCAAGCAAATCCCGTGATGAATGCAAGAAATCTGCAAGGTAGAGAAGGATTTCTGTGGGAAGCTGAAACAGCATCTTAGGGTCTTGGATCCGAGACTGAGAGTCGTTTGCTTGGATATCAAACGCATACCAAGGACAAACGTCAAGATTCCAAATGGTAGTCAAATAGACCTGAAAAAGTATCGGTGGAAGGAATGGTCGCTTTTATATCGTTTGTTCAGTTTCTGATGCGTCAGCCTAGCTCTCTGATTCAGACTAACGTGCTATTCTATGGATCTCTAGAGGCAAACGGGAGGCTCCCAGGAGCTTATGAATTCCCAGGGCTCGAGAGAACCAGTCTCGGGAACGTCGGTCGCAATTCTAGGAAATAAGTCTTAAGGGATAGGTTGAGGTTCAAAAGCCGCGTAGGAGCTCCTGGGGTCGCATAGGCCATAAAATCGGTTCAAATTAGCGTATTCATATAAGTAGACTGTCGCATCCTGGTTGTTCTTTTCAGATATTTCAATCTGTGAACAGATACTTACTCCAAGAAGTCAATCTAAGCAAGCAACAGAAACCGCTTATAAGCAGTTAAGGGTATAACTAATAATTCGCCATCGTGGTTATACTGGATTCTCATTCAAAGGATCTCGGGCTCAGTTGGATATGCAACAGCAGCATTGTGACTAGTAGACAGCTGGCCAGGCTAGCCCATCATATTTTCGACAGATTCTATCGCAAGAATGGAGTCTCAGTCCGTAGCGGTGACGCTCGTAGCTATATTCCCTTCCCAAGCGTAACTATTTTGTTTTTAAGTTTTCCGTTACAATAGTGCACTCATTCGGTCATATTGAATAGATTCCGTTTGATCTCAGAGACTATAATTCAGAATAACTGATACAGTTTAGCTTGCTTAGGTACAAAAATGCGACCAAGAACACTATATCGCAGTCGGAATCGTTGCCAGAAAAGCGCTTCTCGAGCTGCTTAGACTACCACCACAGTACGGTTCAGAGTCTCCAAGTAGGGGAAATGCCCAGCCTTCGATTAATGGATTAGCAACTTAACACCAGAAGGCAGGTGCCCCACTATGTCAGACTTCACTTACTCCGACAAGAGCCGCACGGGCAACATTGATTTGTGCATTACCAGCTGCGATCAAGTTAGGAAGTGTGACCGTAAAGTTCTGATAGGGAGGCTGGCTCGATTCGTGGTGCTGCGGGTCGAAAGGGCCCTGGTAAAGAATAGTACCCATGACCTCGCCTGCTGGTCGACAAGCAATAGATGCACAGGAGGAAACCCCAATTACAACAGCAATCTCGGTAGAGCCAGTCAAGGAGTTCTAATGCACGTGTTAGATTTATTTCACATTTGGCTTTCAAATTTGCATAAGAGCAACATACAAGGCGTTGAACCTGGACGGTCACGTTGCTACCTTTGGTCACTGTATAACCGGTGGTAGGAAGGCCGATGATAGAATTCTGGGCCAAGGACACACTAGCTAGCACGACTGGAGAAATAATGGACTTCATGACGTGGGCTTGAGTGCGAGATAATATTGACAGAGTGATGTAATGGAGTGATCGTGACACAGGCTTTTGGGACTCACTAGGACTCACAAAGTCTCCGCGAGCCTTTTTTGGAAGCGAGGAGCGGAAATCGATTAGATCGTGCTCCCTAATAGTAACTATAGTTAACTCGATAGCTCGAGTCCACAGAACTGAATTCCACTGGTTCACTTTCTGACCCATTTTTTATTGGATTTTTTCAGGTATACCCAAATTCTTCAAAAGAGAATATTAAGCAGTGGAACCTTATCGTATGGGGGTGAGATGGTGAGATAGCGAGGTGGTGAGGTGCGAGTTGACTCGCAACTGTGACAAGTGAAGTCTTTTCAGCGTTTAATCTTCGATTGTTCAACGGTGAGTTCCACTAAAATTCCAAAGCCTTTCTTGAGGATCCATGGTACGCGAGATGATCTGCGAAGAAAGGCCAGTGCTGTTAGGAAGCGCAACCGCGATTGACACCGAGGGACTAAATTTGCAGATTTGCGATTCGTACCAAGTGACTCGGTTCCTTGCCACTTGGTGAATTGCCTGGTGTGGTAGCGGAGGCAAATCTGACGCCAGCATCATGCACATCGCATACCAGTCATAGCACATAAATGTAACGATGATGTTGCGAGTACGGCTGTGAGTCAACGCCGCGGCGAGAACAGAAAACCCCGTCGAAGAAGCATTTGCAACCATAATCCATGGTTGAATTGACAGTCACCGTTGACCCAAGGCATATAAGAATGACCTCAAAAATTGATCTTGGCAGCCTATCCTAACCTGCCTGCCGTTGAAATGCGTGTAATACACCGAGTGTAGTGAGAAAAGCTACGCCATAAGATACTAACATACTTCAACGTTGAAATGGAACTACCAAGAATGGGGCGAGCCACGTCTATAAATACAATCTCCAGCCTGCAGAAATCCCTGAACGATAAGAAAAAGGTCTAATTATACCACACTTCGATACTCCCGGCCATCCTCTCGTCTTTCAAGTAAAGTGAGCAGATTGCAGCCTGCGTGTACGAAGGTCAACACCCACAGTATTCACTGGTCCTGTTGTACGCTCTGATTTGATCTACGATGTGCTGACCAGCCGCAGTTCCTCCTTCCATGGCCCTTCTGATGATCGTCAACGTTGCATGTAAGTACACACACACACGCGCGCGCACACACACACAATTCATTAACGCCCGGCGGCTGAGCCGAAAGGGCAACTAAAACTGATCTACCAATACAGGTCCTAATATAAATATGCCGTGTCTCCTTCGAGCCCATACATGGATACTTTCAGCATATGTCCTCTCAACTGTCAATATCATAAGGATCCTTGTGGGTTAGTAATTTGGTTAGTAGACTGGCTCGAAGGCGCTTCTTCAAGTGTTCAACATCCTATCTTCGGCAGTTGAAGCGCGTCCACCATCTTTGGCACAAGGTGGTAGGTGTAGGTTGGTGAGGATGGTGTCATTGTGTTGGTCGACGTGGTTATGTGGCGTCAAGTCGGCCCGTGGCGATTGCGAATCGTATTGAGGCTCGCACAGCGTCCAAGTTCGGTGTCCATTGCTGATTATCATGAGGGCGATTTTCCTCCCAGAAAGAAGGAGAGGTTGCCCCGGTGAGATTGGCTACATTGCAATAGTGCTGTTCGTTGTGTGGTCCACTTCCGGCATCGAAAGAGGAAGTGTTCCACGGTCTCTCTTGCTTGTCCACATGCACACTGATCCGTGTCTGCAACGTTGATCCGGTAGAGATAGCTATTGAGTCTGGCCATGCCAGTCCGGAGCTGGGCTAGCACGCTCGCTTCCTTCCACGACAATTGATCATACAGCTGTCGAGTGTGCTTTCCTGGCAGTGCTGCATCTACTCGTTTCACGTGTTTCCCTACGTTCTCTGGCAAGTCATTGTTGGTAACTGCTTGGGACCGAGCAATAATCAGCGTTGTTGACTTCATCCTGGGGACCGATTCTTGCGGGACGGCATCTTTCTGGGTCGCATTCCTAGCCTGCTCCTTGGCCAGCCCTAGCAGTTTATTGTCTTTGCTAGTAGGGACCCACCAGATGTTGATGTGGCTTCCGTTTCTTTGCAGTCTTTTCATCAACTTGTACGTTTGGCAGACGAACTCCTGCCCCGACTGTTGCCGAGGATTAGACCTCGAAAGGATCCGTTCTGATCTGTATCCGGATCCGCCCCGATCCGCCTTTGGGGCGGATCCGGATCTAATTCTTCGATCCGCGGGGCGGTTCTATAAATCTTTGATCCGCCGGATTAACAAATAGGGCAAACATAGGAAATCCCGTGATATGCATATTTTATGTAGATTTGGGCTGTATTTTTTGGTATTTAGCTTACAGGTCGGACAAAAAGTATGTGAATGAAATAGAAATCAATTTAAAGCTCTCCAATTCCATTAAATCTAGGGCTTTATATACTCCTATTCCCCATCATTCCGCTTTGAACGCTTTGGAACTCGCCCTGATGTACGCCTCTGAGTACCACTTTTATCCTGCAGATTTGAATTTGAATTATCAGGTAGCGGGATTTCATCCCCTTGGACATCTTCATCCTCGTCTCCGAGCTCAATTAGAGGTGTGTCCCTGATATCTCTGAGAGGTCTCTTACCAATCGCAACCCTACTCGGGGGATACGATGGTTGAGCCTTAGCTGAGGGATCTTCTTCAGTATCACTGATTAGATCAAACACATCATTATCCAGCCTTTCGGTCTTATTTTTCTCCTTCACTGCTTGTATCTCCTGCACTTTAAGATACTCCTCTATGAAAGTATGCTGCTTACTTTCAATGTCAAACCTTGATGTACATAAATACATCATAAGATCTTGGATAGTTGTCGGTTTGAGAGAGCCTCGGCGGTAGTGACAGATATCACGAGCAGTGTTGAATAATCGTTTAACGCTAGAACTAGTCGCAGGAACAGAAAGGACATCCCGTGCAAGGCTCGCGAGAACTGGGAACTTATATTGATTACCCTTCCAGAAGGCACATGGATTAATCTTGCGAGTACCTAGCGAAGGATTAATACGAGACAATAAGAGGTAGTAGTGAGCCACTTACTGCTTCCAAGATATTGTGTAAGCTCATCCTCTCGGTTGATCTCAGACCCCTAGGCTTTCTGTCGGTCACCCATCTGGTCGACAACAAAGAACTGCTCTATAGAAGAAACTTTATGTGATGCTGGCTGTGTTTCTAAGTGACGCTGCTTGTATAGCTCAAGGTATTTCTCAAGACTCTCGCGGTATTGTTCGCGATAAGGCCCTTTCCAGTCCTTCCCGGAGAAGTAATCAAGCTTGTTCTGGGGTGCCATAATAGTCGCAATCACATAGAGATCACCATGGGCCTTGTCGGTCTCAGCATAATAGTCTCTTAGCTTCTGCGTTGCGTACTCGAGAGCAGTTCGCATTGTTATCTGCCATCTTGCTTTCTTTCGTCTAAGCTAGTCTATAGACTTCTCAAGATGATCGAATAGCTGAGTGACATCCTTAGTCTTTGAGAGAACAGTTGTGAAGTTAAAGAAGGGCTGTGTAATAGAAAGAAGATAGTCAATCTGCTTCCATTCGTCTCTAGTAAGCACAAGGTCAGAGAGACCACACTCAGAGCAATACTTGTCGCAGATAGTCTGTAGGTTTTTGGCACGCTGAAGCATCAAAAATGTGGAGTTCCAGCGAGTTTTAACGTCCTGCATTAGAACAAGCCTTAGCTCTTTGGACTGGAGCTCGAGAAATTGCTCTCTGCGCTAAGGGCTTCTATTAACCCAGACTGCTAGTCGCCGAACCTAGGTTGATATTAGTATAAGATCAGCTAAAAACCGGGTGGGGGGGTTCTTTGCCTTATTAAGAGTAAGCACGATATCTTTCTTCTCCCCCTGAGCTTCACTCCGAGTGTCAGTTCCTGTCCATTCCATTTCCTCTCGGTTATTCTTTAGGACTGCTTCCATCCTGCCAAGAAGCTCATTTAAACTGAGTTAGATAACATATGCTATACATAGTATTCGAACAATAGGGGTGCCATCTGGTAACGCGAGTGAATCAAGAGCTTTCTTGATACTGTCATAGAGCGTCGTGTTATTTGATGCATTGTCAGTGGTCATCGTTAGAACCCGATCTTCGATCTGATAGTTTTTGAGAAGATCCAAGAGAACAACGCTAAGGTCGGCACCTTTATGACTTCCATAAAGTAGCTCAAATCCAAGCAAGATCTCACGGTAATACCAGTCTATATCAATAAAATATCCGGTAATAGCTATAAAGGCTTGGCGGAATAGCGAGGTCCAGCAGTCTAATGCAATAGAAAGTTTTGCACCTGACGGAAGTATCCGTAGAAGGCTCTTTTAGCGTTCTATCACTTTCGCCCGAATCTTCTGCCGTACAAGATATGCAGACAAAATCCGAGGCGGAGATAGAGCGAGACTAGCCAGTTTGACTAGTTTATAAAACCGAGGATATTCAACAAACTGAAATAGTAGTCGTAACTCTGTAATTAGAGAAATCAAGCTCTTATCAAACTCCTCAAGGGGGGTAAAGTTCTCTGCTTGAGGGCTATGAAATACCTAAAACAAATTAACTTGATTAGCGATTCAAATGAATTGACATAATGAAAATAAGTTCTAATATACCCCTGCTTGGAGAAGCTTTCGAATATCCTGTGAGGGTTTCGATCTCCGGCAATTAACACCCTCTCTAACATGCTTATTTAGGGAGGATATCCCGCGATTTCCGACCGCTAGGTGGATAAGAACCTAGCTGCATACTTTATACATAACCTTAGGAAACCTATCTTGGATCGTAGCAACCTAATAGAAGTGTTTCCAACAGTCCGCTTGGCGTCGTTTCTCAAAAATGTTCCTTTTCATCTGACTTCCATACTCCGTTATCAACCACTACCCACAGAATTCTTCGTTCATCTCCTTAGTCTAGAGTATAAAGGGCTTCTGTTTCGACGTAGGCCCCACGCGTTCTAGGGTCTGTGGAATAGGGGGTGCTATTAACGACTAAGCGAAATCGCCGTCGGGAGTAGGGGTAGATGTCTGCTGAAATAGAGCATTAGGGGTAAAAGATATTGCCCCGTCAGAAGGAAGATATAAAAGGCTATCTAGAGGATTATCCTCAAAGATAGATAAAGAGTAGGTATCCGAGAATTGAGAGGCTTGACTCTGTGACATAGTGAACAGGTGAGCCTTACTACTAACTTTAGTAAAAGAGAAAGCCGGAGACTTACAAGGAGCAAAGAAGTGAGAAAATAGGAAAATTCAAAAGACGCGACATAGAGCACAAGCTAAACGAAGTTAGAGATATATCTATTCTAATATAGACCAGGCGACCTATCCCCTTACTATATAATTAGCTTTAAGAGCTAGAAGGACCCACGGGAGAACGGATCTCAACGGGTAGATCCTGATCCGCCCTGGAGAAATCCTGATTAATCCGCCGCGACCCGCCTCCTGAATCCTTTTTAGCAGGCTTGAATTTGCCCAAGTCTTTCATCCTAAGTATACTTTGTAGGATAGAGAGACGGGTTTTCGGCAGAAACCACTTTCTGAGAACAAAGAAAAAAAATAAAAAATACTTTAGTTGATCAACCGCCCAATTGAAAGGACGTGATTATTTCAGAGCACTGCCCTTTAAAATAGCTCAAAGAGAAATTCAGAAAAAGAGTGGTAGGGCACTTCGGTGAGAATATATCTTCTCCCACACTATTACAACACCCCAACTTTACCTGAATAAATCACGAGCAACCAAGGAGTGAAATAATGCTAAGGCTACTCCTATTTAATTCCATAAGGTGAAATAATTTATATACAGGTTCAAAACTTAGAATTTCAATCAAAAAATCGCTAGATATTAAGAGTTGTGAATGCACTAAGCAGAACAAGTGTTTATTACAGTATTTTATTTGGATGAATCATCATTTTATCCAGCCAAAAAAGGAAAGTCTTGGCAAATTTATGCAAATCAGGATCTAAACGGATTGATCCTGATCCGCCTTGTGTAGAACCGCGATGCGGATCCGGTTCGAATTCTTCGATCCGGAAATCCGGCGGATCAGGATCAGGATCTAAAAGTTGGATCCGGATCCGCCCCATTTCGAGGTCTACACCTCATCCCCAATTTTATTACATCATGATTCAGGGGCCAATGGTTGGCCTCGTATTTTTTGCCACCTTACACAGCCAAAGAGGCTTTTAGCGGCCGTTTTTTTGCCACAGTCTGTACGCACCATAACGTCTGAACCGCCACAAATCTGGTCGAAGTAGAGTATCCGGTAATTCCGGCTCATGATCTCCGGGGGGGTTCTCTTCCCGGCCTTCCAGTTCTGGTGTTGGGACTTTATCTACCATTCAGAGCATGGCAGTGAATACAGTCGATAGGTGACCAATCAAAGGTGGACAGTGCCAGGCAAGAAGTTTGAATACACCCCTACTTCCGCCTAGCCTACCGCCTACTATTTTAAACCATAATTCTAACACCCTGCCAACCATCAAGACTAGACTTCCGCAAAGCCCACAAATGGGCCCGACCTCTAGGGCCCAACCAAGCCCACGGCCCATTAGTGGGGGCCCATAAGGCCCCCAATAAAGCCCAATTCTATGCATAACTACGGTCTTGGCGCTCATAAAACTGCTGATTAATGCCTGTTTTTTACGCATGTTTTAGTCTGTAAGCCGAGATCTCGGGCCGACGGTTCACTAAGCCCAATACGGGGGGTTCAACTCCCTAATCCGGGGGTTCAACTACTGGTGACGCGCGCTGCGCACGCTGTGGCCCTGAAACGATGAAAAAGGGCAGGGACAAAGTAGGTGGAGGAAAAAAATGTACGTTGTTTTGCTTAATTGACAGTTGATCATGCAGATGAGCAGTGACAAATGAGAAGGCAGCCAGTATTACTGATAGCCGAAACGCCTCAACCTAGAAAAAAGGAACCCAATAATCTGATAATCAACCATCACTCTTTGATTGTGTATGATGTTTTACGTTTTCTTCGAGAACGCCTCTCTGGGGGTGGTGTTGCAGCAGGTGGCGAGTGTTCGTTTTCGTCAGTGGTTTCTGGCCATGTAATTTGTGTGGATTCTTCATCCTCCTCATCTAGCGCAACCACTTCAGGTGAACGTAGTTGCGGATGGGTAGGGAGCGATTCAGTCCGCGAACTTGGCGCCGATTTGCTCGGGGTTTGAGGGCCAGCCCTTTGAGACCAACGGTCTACACGTTTCCGTTTACCAGTCGAAGAAGGGGTGGCGGGTAAAGGATGACTCGGTCTTGGGAGGAAATGTATATCGTCAGTGACGACCGCTAATTGGCGACGTTCTTTTGTGAGGCCGAAAATGTGACCTGTCAAGAAAACATAGGAATTGGGGTTCAGTGGTGGAAAGTTCGCCCATCGCTGACCATTTTTGAAGTACGCGGTGACTGGAAAGGTGTGGTAGGTTCGAGCAGAACTGTTGTACACAGTAGTTTGGAGACGGTAATGCAGAAGAGTTGGCCCGTCGTTTAGTTGACCACCGCGTTCAAGTACAATACCAAGGAATGTCACCGTAGGTTGAGCGGCTTCGGGACAGTGCATGAAATATATATCAGTGTTGTCTTCATCACCCGGATGACTAGATCATGTTAGCTTAGTTGTGTGGCAGTTAAGGCAAACTCACCGGTCTAAAGTGTGAGCGTGGATAATAACATGAAAATCATCGTCATCGGATGAGGTGGTTAGGAAAGATCCCGAGGAGTAGATAAAGGTGTTTGACTTATAAAGGTCGGACTGGTTACCCTCGTTAAAAAATCTAAGCAATGTAGGAATTTCGTCTTGTTCCACGTCGTCTGATTGAATGTCCTTTAAAGGTATGTTGAGTGATATACGGAGCTGCATCGAAAACCCTTTACCGGGACGCGTAGGGTCCGGCTCGACCTGCTCGACGAAGTCCCGAATATGAATAATAGCTAGACAAGTCGAATTTGAAGCCATATCGAAATCTAGCGTACATAAAATCTAGATAGAAAATGTGGCTCAAACATCTAGAGAGGGTATAGAGGGCATGAAATGAGTAGAGGGTAAGAGGGGTTCTTGTGGGAATGCCCACGGTGTACCATGGAGGAAGATCCCTGTTGTCGGTACGAATCTGCATATGATACGTCCCGTGTACATGTCACTACAAGTTCGAGGAAGAAAGCTAGTGGATAATTTTAGGTTTTGCTAATCGCCATCTACGTAGATAAGACGTGGTGATAAATGATTCGTGGAGGTACTAGTTAACGAAGTCTGGGTTACGCGTTCTACCATTAGCAGTTTAGGGTATCCTCTATCCGCGCACATCGTAGACATGCACATGGACAAATACATGTTAGAAGTGATCGTCCCGGTCACATAGAGTGCCCGGCTTTTACGGTTACAACCGTCGGAAATGTTAGTGTGTAGCAGAACCTGAATTCCCGTGGTTGAGTGCTTCGTTGAGGGTTAAAAGGCTTCTTATATATATATTCTAGGCTAGGCGAGAAAGGAACAGAGATATACAGCCTGGATAGATATAGAGGGAATGACCTTTTGACGAGAATCACGATGTTGATAAGTGGCTAAATAATCTAGGAAATAAAGTAGCTAACGCTCCCATTCATCTAGTGTCATTCTTTGCAACTCGTGAAGTCTCTGCATTTCGGCGATTATCCGTGGATCGGGTTCAAATTAGAGGTCGTTTATTTCGATTTGCTGCAGAAGATGAAGCCCTTCGCGCGTTCGCAATCGCGATAATTGTACGTAGTTCGAGCAGAACTTCTAGTGACAGTCTCGACCACGCATCGTCGGGTCATCCTTAAGGTCAAGGATCGCAGAGTCAAGAGTAGACCCCTGCACTTTATAATCGGTAAGGCAGAACGCAGGGCACATAGGGACTTGTTTCCTGCGGATAGAGTAACCCTTCACAGTGATCGATCTCTCTAAGGGGAAGATCGGAACGACGGCGGGCGCAAGGCCTTCGAAAAAGGAGGCGGTTAATTTATCCTGTTCAAATAAACCACATGCGGGAGGTCTCGTGCAAAGGATATAGAGATCGTCAATTTCATAGAAGTCGGCTAAGAGAGTGCAATATTAGGTTATCGTCCACTTACAAAGGAGTATGACTCACCAGTAGGGTCGACTACAATACCAACAGCGGTCCCAGTCGCCCCATTTACCAGCCCCATCCGGGTACAAATATTTGTCAATACAGCACAAGGCATATTTTGGGTGTACAGAAACATCCCTGGGAACGGGATCCTGGTACCCTGATCTGGCTGCTGGAGCAAGTCATCGACACGCAAGCGTAGGTTGACTGGTCCAGTAGACTTGGTTCGTGTGTGATAGGCAGGGAAGACGTAGATCTTTTGACAGTGAGTCTTAGCAAAATGCTCCATTCGAATACGGTTAACCTAGTGTCGAAGTGAATTCAGCTTCACCACCGTTGTGGCGGCGTCTAGGTGAGGGGCAACCAAGGAACTGATGACTCTCGAGTTAAGGAGGCACAGGTCGTCTTCCGTTAATGTTGATGTCCTTGCTCGATGGAGGAGAGATTGAAATGGCGGGTCCGTGGACTGCCGCATTTGCTCGTCTAAAATGATCACGTTCCTGAACTGATGCCATAAGAGGCGACCATCTTCATCTTCAGCATTACCCCTTCTTGGTTCCTTCCATAGTGCTGGTCCTCGCACCGGTGGGAACTGAAAAAAGTCACCCATAAGGATAACGATGGGCAAAGCACCGAAGAAATCGGGTGATCCCCTATCAAGGGATCTCGCCGTTTTGCAGTGGTTATTAATCACACTAAGCATACTGAGATCCAGCATGCTGACTTCATCGATGATCATAATTGTCTTCCGCGACCAGAGATTCCGCACACGAGCAGCCATTGCACGTCCCTGAGAACGAGTAATAGAAATACCTAGGGAGGTGTGGAGTGTGTTACCACCAATATTGTCGGCTGCGGCGCCGGTTGGAGCCATAAGAATTACCTCGTCTCTACGGTGGATAAGGTCCATACCGGCAAGAATGCCTTTGATAATTTGACTCTTACCCACGCCTCCTTCGCCTCCAACATAAAGAAGGGTCTGACGTCGCTGTGAAGCATCGTACGGATGGTCTGCCCAGTGCAGTGCTTCTCCCAAGATACGTTCGACGACCAGTCGCTGTTTGGTATTCAAGGGAATAGTTTCAGTGACAAGTGAAGTTAAGGAGACAGGGGTGCAAATGCCGTCAACATTGGGCTGGTAGTCAGGAAGGGCATTGATAGGTTGTCGCTCAATAAGCATCGGCTCTAAAATAGCATCAGCAACGTTCAAATTGAAATCATCCAGCTGATATGCCGGTCCAGTGACAGCTTCTTGCGGATAGCTATATTCAACAAGCTTAGCAAGTTCCCTGAGACTGGTTTCCCATTTCTGCAACGTGGATTACGGAAACAAGCGAAGGCCAGATAACGTATACGCAGGATTGTCAATGAGGTTAAGCGGTAGAAGGTTTTGCAGTGGTAGGCCACGATTCTGAGTCATCGCAGGTGCCAACGAGGGGACGCATCGTGCAGCGACGAGTGTCTCGCGGTCCCAACACTTAGCTATGGAGTGATAGGCCGCGATTAGAGTTTCGACACTAACACTTTCGTCTAAATCCATCAAGGATTCGTCAGAATCAGAATCCAGATTGTCGACTTCGAGCACGTCAACATCGCGGTCGAATAAGCTGTCAACTGGAATCGATGCATTCCGCAGCTTCGCATCAGCATAACTGTCCTCCCTGGACTTTCGTAGGAGGTCAATGTTCGCCGCAAATATTCGCAGGTACGGCACGAGGGTGGGCTCTACAACTTTCCATATTCGGGAGCAAGCATCGCGTTTCGTCGGCAGAGCATCAGTGTGCTGTTGAAAAAGCGCCGGTAGTTGGTCCCAGCGAACAAATAATCCAAGTAAGATCTCCGCTAAGTCATTCATATTTGCAGCCGTTTTGCGATGGCCTCCCGGAACAGCGTCCTCTGAGGCTTGGAATTCAGTTATCTGTCCATTGAAGGTAACAGTGGCGATCTGAGATGAGGTACGAGCCAGACGTTGCACATGAGTATTGCTTTGAGGGTGTGATAGGTCAAAGCTAACGTCGTCTGCGATCGCGTCACATATTTTCGTGGTGCGTATGAGCATACCGTATTCGAAAAGCGTCAGACACGCAAGCTGCTGCCCACGCCATTTATAATTGTCAAAGATGCTGACAGGGACAGTAGTGTCACCCCCATACGTGCATGGCTCTTCAGCTATAGCGTCAGAAGGTTCGCCGGCGTCAATAGGGACCGGTTCAATAAGGTCACGCATGTATCGCCTCAGCCACCACAGATTGATGCGATTAAAGTTATGGCTGATCGTGTAGTAAGTTGACAGGTTAAGCAAGGCGCTTGCCACCTGGACGCCGCTGATTTCCCGATCGTGGGAGAGGGTATTAAAGCAGCGAAGCGCAAAATTATCCAAACCCCTCTCTCGAAGTCTCAGGTCTGTTCTAGTTGGCAATTCGGCAGTTTCTGCTTTTTCAATACGCTCTTTCAGTAGGGCAGCCTTTGCTACCATCTGCCATGGAGACACGTCATCTTTAGTGGCATAATTGGTGATATAATAAATCAAAGACAAAGACCTGGAGACTGTGGGAATCCAAGAGATATCATGATTGGAACGGAGGCAGCTGGCGATCGCTGGGTTCCAGGGGTTAGTCCACGCATGATTTCGTGTGAGGTGAATCAACCCAAACTCGTCCACTGTGGAGGCAGGAACCAGATCACGGGGCATGCCGAAACGACAAGCCTCTTTACCGGAGCCTCGTTGTCGGTATTTGAAGCAGGTCGAAAGATGATGTTTGGAATGTATCTGCGTTCTACGCGCCACAGAGTTGCTATCGTCCGATAAGCGCAGAAAGAACTCGGGGTCAGTTTCTCGTTCCTTGGCGGAAGGTGGCGTAGTAGGAAGGCTTACGTCTGGATCATACGGAACGCTCTCATCAATACCCTGCACGATAGTAGCCTCAAGGTAGCGGATCATACGAGCAGCAAAGGCGCTATCTTAGAGGAGCCGATTCCGCAAATTGGTAAAGTCAAGGTTGCCCCTAACCCATAGGAGCGTATGCATATGCAGCATCCCTCGACCGTTGGTTTCCACAACACCATAATGATTCGAAAGATCCCCAAGGACTCCAATGTGGTCGGAGTTAGTGGCCAGGAGGCCTCTTAGAATTGCTCGGCAGACGCAATGAAAGAAATCAGCAACAGTGACCGGGTTTAAGGTGGCTGCAGCGGCACGGATGGCGGCATTTACAGAGCCAAAGTTATTCCCAGGGATATTAACACCAGCAAGAATCAGAACGAGGGGGTTTCGCAAATCGGAGGGATTGATAGTGATCCAAAAGGCGGGCATGCCATATCGGACAATCAAGCCCCGAATTTCAGATCGCATTCTCAACTTCTGAGAGAACGAACCGGGAACATACATACCAATAGTAACAATATATTGTTGAAGCCGCCGAATAACCGGGTCTTCGATGTCTTAGCCAGCCTTGATTTCTTGTGCGGCATTTTGTAGTTAGTCCACTGTTAATAAAGCAATGTCTTGCGCCGCCGAACTCCAATATCGCCGTTTTATCAGAAAGGAATTCCCAAGTGATAACCTTCGGAGCTGCAAGATATCGTATAATAGGTACATAAAAGTCTTATACTAGGCGAACCTACAGGAGTCAGCGGAGAGGAACAAACTTCAAACCGTTTGTATAGTCCTTCTACCTTCTACTATAGTGACTCAAAGCCCACTCAGCAAGAGCACTCAGAGACACTGGAATGGTGCGCTCGTCCAGGTGGCCTCCGACTCCCGTTGGAAACAGGGTAGGAAAAGCGGCAGTGAAATAATGAGGATCTGACCAATGATCCATTAATGCAACCTGAGCATTGGCCCGATAAGAAATCACTGGGATCCTTTGGCCGGGTAAAGGGCATTTCTGACCAGGATTAGTTGCTAAATCCTGTTCCGATTGATAGGATCTGCTGAAAATCACGTCAAGTAAGGTGTGCAACATGCGCAAGTCGGAGTTCTGGCGTTCCCCATTGATGTCAGTAGAAACAGAACCAGTTAAGGCGAGACCAGAGTCGTTGGAATCAAAGCTTTCATTTTGTGCTGCTTGGAGGTCATTCTCGTAGTTACCCTGTGCGAGACTAACCGTATATCCTTCCCGTTCATGATGGTCTGGCCGGTCAAGGCGGATAATACTATCCTGTAGCTCCGGTGGGATGAATTCGTCACTCCAATTATCTATCGTCGATTGGTTAATAGTCAATCTCTGATACAGATGATTATGCCGAACGAGATATTGCAAGGCAGCGAGAACCTTGACTCTACGAATAACAAGAAACGGACTCAGGTCCTCATACGTTGGCGGCCGATCACCTAGCCAGAAAACCTTGATCAGGCTATCTAAGCTCAAGTCTGGGCTTGGCAGCATTTGAAGTAGTGGACCAGGGTCCTGTGGAATAACAATAAAATGACCTCGCAGTGCACGATAGCTGACAGAAGATCGCCTGCCACCTGGACGCAGTTTGACAATGACTCCTAGCGGGTGACATCTTGCAATAACGCACTCCTCAGTCAGAGTTAGGCCGTCTAGTACGGACGGGTAGTCCTGGCAGAGAGTCACATTGACGAGGTTTTCTGCGGAGAACTTAGGGATAACCCCTCGGATAAGGGCTTTGTGGCAGGACAAGCATATATCCCAGGTACGCCCATGCCGGGCACAGCGATCGAGAGCACCACCAAGAGGTTGGAGCAAAGGGTCCTCATCGCCAACGGGGAAGATATCAGATGTTGGAACGAGTCTACCGCAAGAACCACATGTCGATCTTTTCGAAGCATTTGAGGTCATTTCCTCATACCTAGAAACGGACTTTCGTATATCAGAGGGCGTTATTTCTGGTGGGAAGGATTGAGTAGCGGCCGCATGACGCTCGTATTCAGCACGCAAAACGCTAACTGCCTTTTTTAAAGCGTCATCAGGAGGCTGAGCGTCTATGACTCCTAGCCTCTTGGTTTGGGGTCGTGAAAGCGGGCGAAGTCGGCGCGTCACATTAGCAGCCGAGGAACCGGGCCTAGGAAATCCGCTTCTGACGGCATCAGAGGGGAATAGAGAGCCCCCTTCAGTGGCAGTAGTGGGGATCAAGCGGCTGTGGTATTTCTGGCGACCGCTTAGGCGACACCTATCGCATGTTCTATACCGCGGAGATTGCCACGGATGATAGCATTGAGAGCAGATCCCTGGGTGAGAACGCGGGACTAGATCCGTAGGGAGTGCTATAGACTGTATAGAAGTGGCGCCTGGCGCCTCAGCAGCCGCAGGACGATGACGGCGCCAATGGCGGCGGCATTTTAGGCGGCAGGCCTCGCACGTTTTATATAGGAGCGACTGCTTAGGCCGTTTACATGAGGAGCATTGCAAGCTATGCGGCGAAGATAAGGCCATAGGAGTGGAGCAAGTCGGGAATGCAAGGAGAGAAATGTATAGAAAAGCAAAGGGAAATACTGTGTACAGCGGGCGGGGCAGAGCATTTGAACACAAAGAAGAATAAAGATAAATAAGACATGCCGGTGAATAACGGAGAGAGGAATTATGTATAGAGAACGGATAATAGAAACAGAAGTATATTTCAATTAAAAAATTCACAAAAGGCAGTAGCGAACGTGGAAGGTACAAAATTCTATGGAGGGTTGCACGACATAATATACAAGGATGAACCGTGCAGAGCACGCCGGCCGGCAGTAGGGCAGGAGTGGGAAGATGAACGGAGACATCCGAACACGAGAAGAAAGGAACGTGACCTGGGATCCAACCAAGCTCCAATAAGAGAGAGGCTTGGCGGAGAGGAGGGTGTGTGATTCTCGCTGTGTTTTTTGCTGTGTCAACGTCGGCGTCGCGCATCCGTGGGGTTAGTAACCCCTTTCACTCCGTTCCTCCGTTTCAGGGCATTCACTCCCGTTCCTCCGTTTCAGGGCATAAGTACAGGTGTCCCCGCCCTTGCTTTCAGACAACAAGCCGTTCCTCCCAGAACTACTTCCTTCTTCCGCTCCAGCCGGTCGCCCCCCACTCATAATCTGATGATTGTTCTGTGTCTATGTACTTGTCAGGCCTTTCCTGGCCCTCCTCTCCTTCTATATACCAAAAATCACTCGTCTTCGCTATGTGTATTTTAGTACCGTGGATGGTACTGCTCGGAATTGTCCCAGCAGTCCAGTCCTCAAGATCATCTTTGCTGCTTGTACTGCCCTTGACGGGCTACTGAGAATGCGTTTGATGTCGATGCATGGAGCCTTGCCTGCCCACATTCGATGTCGTTCGTCCGCCCAGTTTCGGTACTCGAGCAGGACGTGTCGTACGGTTTGCGGCCCGTGGCCGCATTCGCATTGGTCGGATTCGGCCTTGTTGATGGCGTGGAGGTATGCACGTAGGGCGATCTTGCCCGTGCGCATCTGTGTGATGGCGGAGCTGATCGCTATGTGTGTGCCAATGTGCGTGTCGAGTATCGCCTTCCCTGGCCTCACCCCGAGCCTAAACAGCTCTCTACCGTGCTTGGCATTCTCCCAGGCCGTGTCCCACTCGCTTCTCATCGCTCGACGGATGATGGACTTGGTGGTTGCCGTGAGTGTTCGCAGAGAGTCTGCTTCTGCCGGCCGCTCAATGTTGCTCCCGTGCTTGGATTGGTTCCGGCGGTCTCTTCCGCTGCTTGGTCGGCTGCCTGGTTACCTGGCACTCCGACGTGTGCTGGAATTCATCGGAACTGTATTTGCCACCCCTGGCTCCGAAGCTCTTCGAGCGCTCGAATAGCCTCGGCCAAAATGTATTGCCCGGATGGGTGCTTGGGGTTCCGCATCGCTTGGATAGCGGCTTGGTTGTCCGTGAATACGGCGGCGCATCTGTCCGGCGGGACGCATATTTGCGGTGTGTCGAGTACCATCTGTAGGGCAAGGACGAGCCCTCTGAGCTCTGCCGCGTACACCGTGGAGGTCCTGGATGTACCCATATACTGAGTTCGCTTCGTCCAGGGCCCATTGGCGTGTGGTGCACGCGTTACAGCAGCCGCGCCGACGTGGCTGTCTATGCCACTTCCATCGGTGTAGACGCATAGCGTTCCTGGCTCGATGGCATCGTGCTCCTTGAATGCCTCCTCTGCAGAATCATTGACGCGGACGAACGGTGGAATCCACCATGGCGGCACCAAATGCGTTATACGCTTTTCGAGCCGGTCAAGCTGCACCTTAAATTTTCGTTCGAGGATGCTCGAGAAGCGGTCGAGGGGGCTCTGTTCACTGCTCCTGCCGACCTCGGTTGACGCCATGTCAACGTATAGCGGGGCAGTTCTAATGCGCATCGTGGCCTCCAATGCTGTTTGCTCGAGTTGTTGTTGCACCGGGAGCAGATGCGCTTCTACGTCCACCGCCGCACCGGCTGTTGTCCGAATGCACCTGTGATGATCTGGGCTGCACGACTCTGAATCCTCTGGATAGTGTTTATCATTGTTTATCATCGCGCCTCCTCTGCTTGTGTAGCTGTTCTTAGGGACATGCTATGCTGAGCAGCCATAAAGCATCTGGGGTACAATCATTGCTCGGTATACATGCCGGAGATTGACGGTCCCTGTACCCCATGTCGAGGAAGCGAGTGCTGACAGAGCCGAGAGCCGCTTCGTCGCCCCCCTTCTACCTTCTCGCGATGGTCATCCCAGCGAAGCCTGGTGTCCATTTAAATAGCCAGATAGCGGCAGGACGTGGAGGCCTCGATAGTGGCATGTGGTAGGCGGAGAGCATGTGTGCTGTTCTTTCTGGGGTCTCTAGTGAAGTGGACCAGTTCGTATTTTGCCGGTGCAAACTGGGAACCGTGCTTGACTGCCCACTGTTCGGCTTTCTGGTCCATCTTTTTCAAGGTCTTGCAGTTCCGCTGTGCCGTCGGCCCTACTGCTAGGGTAGACACATCGTCAATGTATCCAACCGCCTCTGTATCCTGTGTCTTGCATGCCTCAATCAGGTCTGCGTTGTAGAACAGGTAGAGGATTGGCGAAACCGGCGATCCTTGCAGGATGCCGGTTTGGACCGGCGCCGACGGGGCCGTGAATTGGGATGACTTACACGTTTCTGGGGCTGGTGGAAGTGCTATGTAAGCTTGTGCATATCCCTGACATCAATCTAAGGGACACTCCGGGCGATACAGAACAAGGCGCTTCAGTCGACCCAGAGACCTACAGTTGTCCTCAGTCAACAACCTGAGGTTCTAGGAGCAGTAGATTACCAAGACCAGCCAATGCGTTCCTGAACTCGATGGGGCTGTGAAGTAAAGGAGTGGATCCGTACACGAAACTGCTCTAAAGTTTCTTCATCCATACTTGAAGGAATTCGGATCCTAGATACACTTTCGTCGATCCTGAGATGACCAGTGGCTGCCTCTAGGAACTTTACCTAAAGTCCTAGGAGCAATAGAGCTCCCAGGAAAGGTTGTTGACGATCCCAGAGATAGACTTTACACTACTAGGAAGCCAGCCCGCCATCCTGAGAGCTTTAAACCCCTCCTAGGAGTAAACTTGCTCATCCCAGGACCGGAAAGCCTTTGAGGGACTCTAAAGAGCTTCAGCTAAGTGGCAAATCTAAGGATATCTGAATTAGACCAATCCCAGAAGTATTCCTCTCGCTCCATAGACGTAGAAAACCGATTATAGCAGCACGATAACTCCCAGGGCCAGCTCATGCGTCCCCAGACCGTGTAGAATCGTTAACAGGGCTAGTTGCTTCATGGAACAAACAGCGTGATCGGAATGGGAAGAAGATAACCTTCTTCCTGGCTAGAAGAGAATAGCGAACTGCCGTGGACCGACCGCGCCCAAGCTTATCCGAAGCAATTCGGGGTGAGCCGGTCGGTTGAATCCTTACGTGGGAGGAAATATCATATCCTATGAAAACGTCGGTTTGGTCGTGCGAGGCGGACACCGCGGACGACCTCGAAGACCCGCCGGAAACCCCGACTTCTGAAAGTCACCAACAACGGAGAAGAGATCCTTTGGGGGGCCACAGCTGTGCAGGCTTATCACGGTTATCTGTTAAAGCAGTTCTACAGTAACTACCTGGAATCAACGCTCTCTTTCTTTTTTAGCATCATTTTGTTGCCACCAAACCATTTTCTTCCTCAAATATATGTGTGGAGTCTAGAAAAGTCAGAATTTTGATTGCCACAGAAAAATTGTTCATTTGAGTGGATTCCGACTAGGTAACTGAAACTATAAATGCAGATACAAGACACGCAGTGACTCTTGTTAGATAGAATACTTTCTCTTGCCAGACAGGTATAATATCTTTTACAGTGAATCAGACATGCACCTTTTACTAGCATTTTTTACCTCCATCTCGGTGGTTCTTGCCGGGACACTTCAGATAATGGACCATAAGGGGCAATGCTTCGTGTATTCTACGGGGAACTTCGACTGTACTGGGATTTCAGAGCCATTTGCCACTCTCAATGACACTTCTTGTTCTGGTAAGACGACCATTGTTGATGAAGAGCTAGTATTAACGACTTCCAGATCTGATTACAGCGCGGAACGACACCAAATCCGAGTCCGATACAGTCAAAGCCAATTTATGTATCTCTAGTGGTCATTTCGCCTGGGTAGAGGTGTACCGAAGTGGTCTGCTCTACTTTCATAATGACCAAGGAGACGCAGTGAGCTGCAAAATTGACAAAGCTCTACAAAAGGGTAGCATATGTACTGCTGAAAGCAGTTCATGGACCGCGATACCAAGCAAAAATCCCCAGCCGACTTCATTTGACACTATATCCTCCCAGGTCTCAGTTGCGTCAACTGTGCCAACCACGACCCTTTCGAACTCGAGCTTTTCAAGTTCTACAGTGGATTGCTAGAAATGAAAGCATTCACTTATCGGGGCCACTTTGTCGCGTAAGTTGCCGTTTTGTCTTTCGAAACTGAGTTCACCCGGTGACCGTGGATACATATGATTGGTGGATTTATTGCTATGTCCTGCATCTCCCGTGTCCCCAAGTGGCAGGCCTCGGAAAAATTCAAATGTTTTACTGTACCTTTTGCGAAAATTGTAGTCTAATCGAACTATTGAAGTATGGTGACTGCACGTGTATTAGAACAAGCCAGGACAATCCACTGGACTACTTTACTGGTTCTGTAGTTTCCTTGGCGAAGCTGGGAGGTGTGCTGTTTTCAAAGGGTTATGGTTAGTACAGAAGTTATTGAAACAGCTTAATCTTCCAGATATACAAAACTTATTCCTCAGATAACTTACCTCTTTCGAGGGCTCTCACCTGAATTTGGCAGGAGAGAGCCCCACATGACAACCATGTAATTAACTGTAAGAAACTAGAATTCGGTGATGGCACTCGGCTCCCTCCTAGACTACCGGCAAAGAAATCTGATAACCCCCAGGCAAGTTACTGTTTTTACTGTCTCCCGGTCAAAATCGAGATATTTCAACAATTTTTAAAGGTCCTATTGTTTGGTTCGTTGACCAACACTACGAACGTGTCATCTGGCTTGACTCTTCTATATAGGAGACTCACTACTAAGTATCTTATCTTACTTATCCCCCAGAATGGAAGGGCAATAATCACTTGAACTCAGTGCTGTTACAAAAAGGACCAAAGGATTCTCGTTTCTTGGGGCCTATGCTGTTACTGGAACTGTCCAAGACGCATGTTAGGCTTATACATGGTTGGCACACTTGTCTGCTTTACGATTTGTCCGGGTAGGAGGGATTAAGATGGGCATGTGATCCTTAATAATTAGTAGAAGGCTAACTAATGAGGAGAAGGAGTCAAGAAATCCTCTTTCTGTTGACCCATTCGCAAAGACTTTAAGCAACCTTTTTCAAGTGCAAAATCGCACATGCGACCGCAGTTATGCATCCTCAGTTTAGTCACTAGTGAGGTGCCAACAATGTATTCAGAAAATAGGGTGCCACGACGTTGTCTGAATGTTTGGTTGCACCAGGAAAGGAGCGGTCGAACGCGGTTCACGACGCCTATTGCATCGCCTGCACAAGGTAAGTCCCACCGTCAACATTGAGCATCCGTTTCTCACCCATCAACAATGGACAAACGTTTGCTGGTCAATACCGACATGCGGGACTCAAGTAAGTGAGCCAAATGGACAATTCTTTTCACGTGTCCGTCTCGAGTGAGACATGGAAAACAAAGATGTGCGATCTATCGTCTGTGGTCGCCATCGCCGTCAGTTTCGTTTCTGCTTGTCCTGCATGGTGGGTACTCACCAAGATTGTCAATCTGGCATGCTTGCTCGAATGCTTTGACGTGAAACATTTCCGTAGCCACGATCCGATCGGGCTTTGACAGTAGAATCTCGGGAACCTTTTTAAAAGCAGCTTCCAAATCCTTCATCGGGTACGCCTCGTGGAAGATCTTTGCAAGGAGAGTAGCCAGGCAGTCTATACTCAAATCAGCCATCGGCTCTATCCCCAGTGCTGATGTCAAGATCTTCGGTAACAGTATTGGGTTCAAAGATAAAAATGCTCGTCGATAATACTCCGTCCGATCTGAACCATTTCTAATGAAAATCTTCTGCGGCTTTGTTGAGGCGACACGGACTTCCTCGAGCTGGAAGGCTCTTTGAAGGCTCAGGATCATCGATTGTAGTTGGTGTACTGAGATCCCGGCTTGAAAAAGCGGCGATTTTTTTAGTTGGAAAGCCATCGTGGAAAGAAATTCTTCGCCACATAACCAGATCTCCTTGGACTCATATCCGTCCATGTCTGTGGCTTGGATTCCCATAAAGGCGTGGCAAATCAGCGCGACACTTGCTTTGGTCCCAAAAGGCCGGTATGGAGGAAGTGGTCGGTGATAGCATGTGTGAAGGAAGCTTGAATGACACGATGCATGTTGTCCTAGAATGAACTGGATGTACCTGATCTGGAGCTCCAACTCTTCCAGAGACATGCTGTGGAGGGCTTCAGATCGGGTTAAAGCCTCGCGTGCGGCGATGAACCATGACAGTAGTCCATCGTATTGTAAAACAAACCCCTTTTCCCAGTCGTTTCCGCTACGATAGATGATACGCCACAATGCCCCTTCATCCCCGGGAAGCATCGTAGAAATGAAGAGGTAGCTCAGTACGAGCAGGAGTTGGTGAATCGTATGCGGCTTCTTCTCAGCTGCAACAAAGCATGAAGTTGGGCCTTGGATCTGGTAAGATAATGGCAAGGTAGCCTGTTCAATCGTCAGCTCTGGATTCCAACACACCTGTACCGTAGGACAATCTCTACCGGGAGGGGCATTTCAAAGTATGGTTGCGTCCAACAAAGTTTTGATTGGCACAAGACGTTCTCCGATAGGGTTGTAGAAGGGATACAGTCATTAGCGGTTGTGTGGAAGATGCTGTTCATTTTCCCATAAGTCCCATTTAAGGAGCGTTCTTTTGTTAATATCTCAAGGGATCTAGTGCCCTGCACGAAGGATGCTTGATAGACGTGGGGGGCTTGTTCTTCATCTCGGTGCTGGATGGCGGGTTGACCGCAATCTTGTAGGACTGTTGTCCTATTGTTGGGCGACCCTTAGGATTGTATCTGATGACATTCCAAGGTGGATTTGCACTGGTCCCGTCGCTTGGATCGTCGTGGCTGCAAATTATCACGGTCTGGAGGACTCGTGTCTTCATAAACACAGGACTCGGATTTGCCGTGGGCAACGCAAGACTGGCAAGAAGGCACTTCGCGACTGCATCGTTGTTTTGAAATACGGCACGGTAAGCAGGATCGGCGGCGTGGAGGCATCGTGGACGGAGAGATTAAGTGAATTTAGTGAAACTGGTGGTGGTGGTAATCCCAAGGCGCGGGAACAACAAGTCAAGTTGACGTGCAGAGTTCACTTAGCGACAATATGAGACAGGATTACCTCTGCAATTGGCGGCCAAAGTGAGAGATTTATAGACAGATCTGGCAAGATTGAGGATTTCCGATTTCGAGAGCGCCCAGGTAACCCTTTCGATATTGGATAAAATGAACATAGCCGAGAGGATGCGAGAACAGACGCATCACGAATTTATATTGTCCGTCAATGAGCTCGTGGTTCTCTAACGGTGTTATGTATCCAAATACCTTAATGGCTTAGATGGACAAAGCTGTGCAAGATCCTAGGCACGTATCAGCACATCCCTGGGAATACTAATCATAGTTTCCCGGATCCCTTCATGACACCCCAGGAATACCACGGTGGGCCCTAGAAGCAAATGTACCCCAAGAGTCAAGAAGTTTGGCTCGTAATCTGCTTTTGCTGTTTACCAGCGCTTCCGCCGCTGTCTGCACTCATGCGGTTTGGTTTTGTCCGCAATGAATTGTTCCTCGTGATCGAGGGCTAGGCAGGAGGCTCAGGCGAGACGTCACTGAGGACCTGCTGTACGCACAAGCTCTCTTTGACGTTCAACTCTGCTAACGTGTTGAGCATTCAACGAGGCCGGCTAAGGAACCAGCTTAACGTGCGTCTCAGAAGGTCCAACAGAATTCGGTTGCAACGATGAGTTTAATGACGCTCGAATCTGCCAGTGCAGCTCAACGTTGGAGATCATTTTTGTAACTTTGTACCCGATATAAACTGTTTGCAACATCACCATGAGCCCGCAGTGAGAAAGCTCCGCTGCATTCAGGATTAAGCCCTTGACGAGATGGAGCATATCCTCATATGTTAGTTGTTGGCCCACCACACCAAGTCATAGACTGAAGATACTTGGTCACCGTTCACCAGTTTCAACGCTCATACCCACCGACGATGGCCGTCCGCGTATTGGAATTTGGACCGGTGTTTTTCGCAAAGTATTGGACTGATCGTTGAGTCAGCGTTAAACTTGAACAGAAAGGATAGGTAAACGCCGAAGCCTAAGCATCTTATCGATGACGGTTGAACAGCCACCTCAAGGCCTAATATGGAACCCTCGCTGAATGCATGTTCATCTGTCAACTTTTTCTAATCCACAGACTCATCATCACTAGTTCAATATAAGCTCAATTTCTCTCGGCCACCAACTAAAATTGACATTCCAACTGTGGCTCAAATATGTAAGTGGAAGTTGACTTGAAATATTTTTCCAGCGGGCCTCAGATTTGGGCAGCTGCACTGACGATTATATTTCGACGGTTACCACTCCCAATAGCAGACGCGCTAGTGCCAAACAAAGCACATGACAAGGCAGGCCGACAAGTCTATAAATACCCCCTACTACGCATTAGTCTTTTGCTCTTCTAGCTCACTGCATGGCTCTTCCAAACCCGACGAAGCCTTTTTCATTTGGAGCCAGAAGCTCGGCCTCTGCAAACAAGACTAGACTAGAAAGTTCAGACACTACCAGCGGTCCCCTAATAAGTTCTTCCCTATTAATCAACCTCTGGTTCTTCCACTGGACTGACAAAGGCATAGCACGTCGTTGATTCACGTGAGTCACGTAGTGCCCGTGACCACCCCGCGCGAGGTACTATATCCTCCTTCTCTTGACTGTCGGTCCCGTTCAAGTCTTGCGTTGTCCCGTGACTGTTCAAACTCAATGACAAGATATCCGGCTTCTCGACAATAATACTGATCACTGGGGATTTCCTGGATGCCCAATCGAGTTGAATCTTTGCTGTTGAGACCTGCCCTCATTTTCGGTGCAAAACCGGGACCAACCGTGACGCAGGTGTGTGCGTTGTTCCCTGATCTTGCCTGATGCTAACCTAGAGGAATCTGGGTATTACCTAGGACTGCGTGTACCTGGCCCGACAGACAAGTAACCTAGGATTCCAACGCATCCAGGTGTGCCTGTTCAACTCACTCGCTTTATTCACTGTGCACCGGAGGAGCGCTTTGTTGAGCATGCAGTTCAAGGACTTGCAAATCTCCCTTCAGAAGGACCCTCGTGGAGGCCCACCCATCCCTATGATTGAACTTACTCCCGAAGGGACCAAAAAATTCCTTGGTCTGACCAAATTGTACGGCGAGCGCAATTTCCGTCTCTCCCTCTCTCGATTCCCCGGCTACCCCCAGATACGTAGTATCTTTATCCTCTCCGGAATATCTGGCTGGGGTCATGCAGCTAACCAATCAGCAGGACTACTTTTGCACTTCCCGAGATCGTTTATGGTCCCTCTCTGGTGATATGCCCGCACACATTGCTTTTCGGCATCCTGTTCCATGCGCGCGCATTCCGGAATTCGAGGCTGACCTCGAAGGTGCAGTTACGGAAACTCTTTATCAGCAAAGGCTGTGAGCAGCTCCTAGTGCCCTTAGACCCGAACAAGTCTGATTGGTATATATTCTGTAAGACGGAGCTGGTTAATGGCGTTCCCACCATTCAGCGGACCGTGCAGATGTCCAAGTCGGCCATGTCCACCTTACTGGTCACCTTCGGGGAGATCCGTGGGTGGAAAGGGGCATTCCATGCCCATCAGTTCCGTTATGGAAGTGGTAAAGTGATCAACGAGAGCGGTAAGTACTTCTACGGAGGCCACTAATACTTCTCTTCCTTCTTTTCCGTCGGTGGCTAATGTAGTCTGTAGGGTGGGTGAGCAAGGAACAACACATGTTGATCATGAAGCACGCCAGCCCCCGGACCTTCCTCGACCACTATCATCCTCTACAACTCGACACCGACATGATCCGGATTATCTGTGGTCTCGACCCGGATGTGGAACTGATGCGAGCCGTCACGCGGCAAAGCCGTTGGCGGGACACGCGACGCCCCCGCTATCTGACCGATCAACAAAGGGCACAACTTGAGGATCACCCCGAGTTGGAAGAGGCCCGGCGCAATCTTAGCCAGATCCGTGCCCAATACGAGAAGACCCAGCAGCCTGCCCTGCTCCCTCGGATCCAGCAACTGGAAAAAGAGGTGAAAAACACGCGAAAACGGTTGCAAAGGAGTTTGCGCCATCAGATCCGAGAGAATTTTGATGAAGAGCAAGCATTTCTAGACATCGAGGCGCAGCTGTCTGGTACAGTGGTCAAGGAAGAGAGCGAGGATGAGTCATCCTTGGAGGACACCATGCATCCCCTTCAGTTGCATCTAGTGCAGAGTCTTCTCCCCTACCCAATCTCCAACTCGTTAGAGGATGAGTGGAATCGGCGCGATACAGGTGCTGCAGCCGTCGTGCAGTATTGTGACGTCCTTGAAGGAGGTCCATTAAGGGGCCGGCCCAAGCGGAACGCCTCTGGATCCGCTACATCGGCTGGTCCCATAAATCAGCCGCAAGGTACAGGGCAGACCGAAAATGATGCCGACTCATGTGAAGTACCTTCTTCTGTCGCTGGCAAGCCGTCGCGTGCCACTAAGGAATACCTCGAGAATTCTGAGAAGCCAGAGGCTTGCTTTCAATGCTTTGCAAACAAGGGGCTCCCTGATCATGTTCGCTTCCAGGTGTATCATGACGCCGGGTGTGTTGCGCGTCATTTTGACGCCATTCATCTCAAAGAAAAGCCACTCAAGTGCAACTGGTGTGAAGTAGCCTTGCTACATCAAATGGCGTTCCAGCGCCATGCTTTTGATGTGCATCATGTGCGCAGTCGCAAGCGTTGCCTAAATCCGGTGCAGGAACTTCAGAGACAAGAATAAGCAGGCCATGATGCTGTGAATGGCAGTCAAGCGGGGGATCCGATAAATATAGGTATCCATTGTCTGCCTCTCGGGGCAGCGCATGCAACGCTATAGCCTTGTTTCATCACTATCACGGCTTGATGTCCAATCGTGCAATGCATCTTAGGATATTGCGATCTCACGATGTCCAATTATTTCCAGGGGGGAGTCCATCACTCTTGGTTATCAGGTATATAAAGGGTCCCCTTCCCCCAGCTGGTTGCATGCTCTGATATTCTCTTTTCGTCTTCCCAGGCCGGCTTCTATCGACTCTCCTCCCATGAGCGTGACGACTAAGATCAAGATGGCAAGCCCATCCGACACGATTGTTATAACCGATGACGAGAAATTGCCAAGCCTCGAGCCAGGTAGTTCACGACCTCGGAGGGCCCCTCGCCGTGATTACAGTTACCGGGAGTTCGAGGACATGATCGTTGAAGCGGTCGATAATGAGACGGAAACGACACATTCACGCAAACGCAAAAGGACTGAAACGAAGGAGCTGTCTGCATTGGTACCAGTTCCTCACAAGGCCTTCTTCTTCCTCAACTAACAACGGACCAGGACAACGCCTTTGCGGAGCTCCGAAAGGTAGTTAGCCATAAAATGCAACGGCTACAAGAGAAAAATCGCAAGCTTCGAGATGAACTTCGCCAGGAGACGGAGAGGCACGAAAAGATGCAAGCGGAACTTTCTCAGCAAAGTGAAAGGCGTGTTTTAGAGTGCAGGATCTGCTGTTTGCAGCCAGATCACTGGGTGACGATTCTATGTGGGCACATGGTCTGCGAGTTATGTGCAGGAAACTTTGAGACACTGAAGAGGTGTCCTATCTGTCGAGCAACAGTTACAGGATATGTCAGATGCTACCCTTTTGCAGGATAAAGCATGTATATCGTGTTGTAGGTCTAGTTCAATGACTCGAGTTAGACACAGAAGTCGGCTTTCTACGTTTTTTTCTATCTTTCTTGTGCCACTATATGCCGACAAGTATCTATTCCATATGCCTCTACATCCTTCTTCCATACAACAGTTATCTAGAAGCCTGTATACCAAGCGCCTCGGCTTTCACCTGGCTTCTACGTCCGGGCCCCTTCACTATTTTCTGGTCATGACGCCCCATGGTTTGCACTAATCGGGCTGATGATTGGTTTACAGGAAGATGACTAACATGCTCCTGGTCACTAACATAACGTATTTCCTAAACGGATGTCGCCCAAGCAGGTAGGCTCAATCGTTCTCAATCGTCCCCAAATCCCAGCACATTTTAGACTGCAAGATCTGCTACACGCTGCCAGATTGCTGGGTCACGGGTGACTATTCTATGTGGGCGCAGAGCCTGGGAGTTATGCGCAGGATATCTTGAAACCTAGTCGGATGCTATCTTTTGCAGGTTAAAGCTTGTATATCGTGTTGCACTAGTTCAATCACTCGAGTGAAAGCATGGAAGGCGCGTTTTCACGTTCCTTTCTCCACTCTGGTAACTTCGGTGGGACAGACAGCCGAATAGTATTAACATCACGTGGAGCCTGAGCTACGCGCCGTCTTAGCGCCCACGTATTTCTTTTAACGTGCAAGAAAATCGTGGTCTTTCGTGGGTTCAAAAACTGAAACGGCGCTACCTCACGGTATCTCTGAAAACGCAGATGCCATGCGGCAGTATCAACCCTCGGCGCCCTTTATGGGCTACCTCACGGCTTTTCCGAAAATGCGGATACCGTGCGGCAGTATCTCTGTTGCATTCCCAGGCTCATAACCGGAGATCATTTAAGTCGCTCGTTGCGGCATCGGTAGTCACATGTCTCCTAGCAGAGGATGATGCCCTTCTTTCCCTTGTTTTTTTTTCCTGCAGTGCAAGATCGGCTCCCGTTCGTTTGTCTCGTTGGTTCTATGCTTTGAATTGTCTCCGACGTCTGGCCAAATCACAAGTCGCTGACTACGGGGTGTTTCGAAATCGCTCGAGGGCTTGTCCCCAAGGTTGAAACTATGGGCTTCGGAAGTTTCTGTAGGTAGCTTCTTAGTTCTGTAAAATAACGGCCACGGCAATTGGAATACTACGGACCTCCTGATGTGATGGATGAGATGGCTACGGACGTGCAGTCCGAAACGGGCGGCGAAGGTGCGCCGTCGAAATCCCAAAAGTCATTCGACATGGTGAGGGTTGCTTTGGATCACTTTCGCTTGTGAGATGTAGCATTGCAATGTGAGAGGGAGGGCCCCGCACTGATATTATGTAACCAGACGAGCTTCAGTATTGCATACCATTTTTACATTCAGGGGGATCCCCAAAATAAACAAAAAGGTCATGTTTCACATGACAGTCAGGAAATGGCACAGAGGCACAAATACTGTATTCACGTTGTATCCGTGCCCTTCCCTTGGCTGGCTAACCTAGCAGTCGGCCCACCCATTCGCTAAGCTCATGTTCGCCAGCCAAGGGAAGGGCACGGATACGGGGTAAATGAATGCCATTGCAGCAAGGGCTCCGAATAGTCACCGCCTCGGCCGAAAGCTGACGCACGAGCCATTGGCCGAACACCTTCGATCGATCCACTTTTCTTTTGCAGCCCGACACCTTGCGACTTGGTTGGCTCGCATCTGTGCCCCGTGATGGATTGCATCTCAAGTATTCAAGTATGATCCGGGTATGGCCCAACTTGTCTATTAGACTTTGGATTGATCCACATGATTTAGTTGTCGATACACGAGTACAGAGGCCTAGGCCATGGTCTAGGCCTGGACCCAGAACATCGATCATAGATCGCACTCAGAGATCTGGTTCTATGCCCCACAAACAACGGACTTTGAATGGACGACCTCAAAGCCACCCACCCCTTCGCTGGACAAACACTGGGTAACTGACGACATATTTGATAAATGTGCTTCTAAACCACTCAAATCTCTATTCTAATGCAACGACCAATGGAATTTTGTGCTGAAGAATCGCTTCCGTCAATCTAAGCCGCCTATCTAGCATCAATCACAAAAAAGCGACGGAACTTTCCCCGTGGCGACTTACAAGCCTACTTTAATCTTGGAATCTATCGATCGGACCGTTACGTAAGAGCTTGCCTTGTGAGTAATGGGAATATTAACACTTCTCTATCGCCCTGAAGGTACCGAAAAGTTGCGAGATGCCGTACGATCCTTGCGTTATCAGTCATCCGCCATTCAGGAAAGTGAACTTCCTTGCTACTCTAAGACTTCACCAAAGTGTTGTGACTGGTTTCTTATGGTGAAGGACAAGAGCATTGCGCAAAGTAATGGCTTCCCCTCATCAGTATCGGTCGCAAGATCCTGTCATAACTTCAGTGCTATCGGACGGTGGCGAACCATTGATCCTGCATATATATTGTCATGTTGACCATACCTACAACATCTGCTCCGGGGATGGAACTCTGAACCTTCTTATTCAATCCAACCTTCAGAGTCAATCAAGCCCAGGCTTGATTGTTTATGAGAACAAGCATGGTACGGTCAACCATAAATTGGCGCATTGTCAATTCACAGATAAAACACGTCTCAACGACGTCGGCTTCGTACACGACCCGAATGACCAAACATCTGCTTTATGGTGGTCTGATGTGCATCAAAATACACCAATTTCCATCCAGTATCGATTAACAGTGGCCATACATTTACCACCACATGCAATGGGTGCTTCTACCGATACTACCAGACTACGTGTCTTTATCTGGAAAAATAAGTCAAGGCTGATGTTAGTGGATGAAGAGACAGATACGGTGGCTGCCATGTTCGACGATGTCACCATGGATTCCACTAAATGCGGGGCACTGCAAGTCCTAGTGCCTTTTGACAATAACTTTAATCTCACGGCTTTGACTAGTTTTCTAACCATTTATGAAAAACTGAAGGTTGATTCCTGATGTGAGATCATTTCCTCGTTCGTTCCTTTCAGTAAAATGCGCGCTATATTTATAATTACGGCACATGTTCAAACATCAAGTAACAGATGCAGACAAAGTTCGAAGGCGATTACTCGAAGCCAGTGTTCCCCAAGCTAATAATAATAGTAAGCATAAATCGTGCAGAAATGCAGCTGATTGTAGAATGGGTAGAGAGTGTATGCAAATTTCGTGTAAAATACACCACTTGTGGTACGAAAATAAATTACATAGGTCAAAATACTATGTTAATAGTATAGTAGTTTTCCTCTGGCGCTAGAACAAAAGACGGTTCCACTTTCCGTGGTCCCGACGACTTGAATCACATAATGTCAATCTCTCAAGGTTGACGCGAGTTGGGGAGCTGCTTTCAGCGATGTATCCACCTGTCCCTGCGTGATTGGCCAAGAGCTCAACAGGGCTTATGGGGTTAAACCACTTTCGAACTTTCGGATGCTCTAAAAACTCAATTTTCGTGGATAGGTGCTTCAATTCCAGCCAGGGCTGACTCGACAGCGTACCTTAAATCTTGACGTCGGCCTCTATTGGATTCGAAATCACAGTGCTCCTGTCTCAAACTCGAAATATCCGATCTGGTCGGTTCCTTGGACCTTCCAAGCAGCAAGTCAGTAAGACTTTTCTCATCATTTCTAAACGTACCACAGAGACCACGTGTCCAAATTCGTTCTTAATTTATTAAATTAGTCAGGTGAGCTTGGAACTTAGCAGTAAGATTTAATCATGCAATCTTGTTTGGCCTTGAAAAATCCTTATGGACCTCGATGTTGAACTTTTCATTCTACAGCAGGAACGCGAGTATCGAAAAGGTACAGAGTCTGACTAGCACAATCAAATACCGAGGGTTCAGGACTGTATTGTATTGTCCGCCGAAGAGACTTTCACATGTAGCTGAAATTTGACTGGTCAGTACAGTCTTGCTGAAGCGATTCAATAGGCCGCTTGGGCATAGGCTTATTACGGCGCGACATCACCCATGGTTTATCACTGTCGCGATATGGGCCTCCCAAGGTCGACATTGTTCTCATCTGGGAGCTACAAGTCCTCCGGAAGTTGTGCTTGCAATTAAGCATCGTGTCTGGGAGCTCTACAATGGGCTCTAGGGCTAGCCTAGTCCGGCAATGCACGTAGCACACACTACTCATGACTAGAATCTTAGCATACCGAGAGGGAAAAATAGACGAAAATTTCGGATCATAGGGAGGGAGGAAGCGATACATACTGTACTTCAGATTTACATTCCTCGCATATCATTTCCGCCCTATATTATAGGCCTGGCAAAAATTTGATGGACCCAGCGCGGCTCTTGTCCGTATAAGATTGATACTATTAATCACAAAGGGGTAAAATATTTCTTCAATCTTATGAGGTCTGATCGTCAGTCGCCCCTTGGAGAAAATAGGCGATTGAGATATTTCCCCTAAGAGGGGGATATGGTCTGATACAGTACCAGATGTCTATTTATTATTACTGAGTACCCGCTATTTCTGAACCTCATCCTCTGCACTCACCTCGTATCTGCTCCCACAACAAGATAATCCGATCCTTTCAAACATTATATCGATTCTCCACGTACCCGAAAAAATGCAAAATCAAGGACAATACCTTCCATATCGTCTCTTCCTTCGATGCC